GCTGGGGTTCCGCAGCCCTCGTTCCCACCCCTTCTCCCCCAGGGCTGGGGCTGTCTTTCTTCCAGCCCTGAAAGGGATCTGTCTGCAACGGGGAGAGGGCTGGGAAGATCTCGGCGCAGCTCCTGGCGAAGCTGGCTTCCCCTTTCAGGGGATTGTGTGTGTGCATTGCAGCTGTAGCAAGGAGCTGCCTGCAGCCTGCGCCTCAGCAAAATGTAGGTTAGAGAAGCATTAGGACCCCAGCCTTAGAGGCAAGATGGGTGCTGGGCCCGGCCTGCTCAGGCACAGCTTGGGCTCCTTTTGCTGGTGCTGTGGGGATCTCCAACCCCCTCCTGGTCTGTGGTGCCGCAGTGGGACCTGGGGTTAGTGTGCTTCCCACCCTGCTTGGCTCAGCATCCCCCCCCAGCACCGCAGAGAGCCCTGAAGCCAAGCAGGAACGCAGGGAGCTTGGCCGTGCTGCGGCCGACTGTGGGGAGGACTGCAGGCAGAAGACACTGCCCACAGCAGGAGAGCATTTGGGCAGGTGCGTGTGTTACCATCGTGCAATGGCCCTAGTTAAGTACCGGTCTGGTCTCTGAGGCTGTGCTGCTAAGAGCCAGGAAGGTGAAATGAGCCAAGGGAGGCAGAGAACTGGCACTAGTGGGGCCCCCTCCCTGTTCTGTTAAGTGTGTCCCAGCAAGCCCACAGGAACGCCAGGCACTGGCTGAAATTTTAATCTAGCCCAGAGTGCTCTGCCCCAGGAGCCTGGGTGAGGCACGGCATGCTTTGTCCAAGGAACTGGCTGCAACAGTCTGCTTGCTTGGCACCCCACACCTGTGTTCCCCAAGCCCTGGCCAGGCCAGGCCGGGGTAATTCCTGGTGAGCCCTTAGGGACATCCAGGCGCAGCTGGGTGTCCCCCATTGAGGGCAGAACATCAGTTCTCCCATCCTGTGCCCACTGTGGTGGACAGGAGTGGGGCAGGGAGCCCAGTAGCAGTGGGGCTGGGGGAGCTGAACCCAGCTGCAGGAGTTGCATCAATTATTGACTGTGGAGCTGATCAGCTGCTCTTTGCCATTAGCCCCTTGGTGCCGGCTTGGCTGCCCTGGCCAGGCCCATCCTTACATCCAGCTGTGGGTGCCAGACCACAAACTGGGCAGTGTATCACAGGGCAGAGGGGGGCAGTGAGGCCTGGAGCCAGCGG